CCTCGAAGTATAAGCTTTATCAAAAAGGAATGTTTTAAGCTTTCCCTTAAAAGTGGAAATAGTGTCTGCCTCACAGACTAAAGTTGGTAGTTGGTTCCACAGAAGAGGAGCCTGATAACTAAAAGATCTACCTGCCTTCTTCTTTTAGAAATTCTAAGAACCACTAGTAAACCTGCAGATTGAGAGTGATAAGTATATGTGAGAATGAGGATTTTAAATTCTAATCTGGATTTAACAGGAAGCCAATGAACAGAAGCTATGATAGGATACTATATGATCTCTCTTTAATTTTCATCAGAACTCTGGCTGCAGCATGTTGGATCCGCTGAAGGCGTGGACTTCTTGATAGTAAAGAATTACAATAGTCCGAACTTAAAATAATGCATGGACTAGTTTCTCAGCATCACCCCTGGATAAGATATTTCTAGGAAATTCTAGAAAGCTCTTTGATATGGAATTTACTGTAAATGACATTTCCACATAAAAAAAAAACACCAAGATTTTTTACTTTATTATCTGAGATTAATTTAATCCTATCCAAACGAAATGGCTAATCAGCATATTTTGCAAAGACTCTGTTCCAAAGACAATAACTTCTCTTATGTCTGCATTCAGAAGTAGAAAGTTATCAGGTTTTTTATGTCTTTGAGACATGCCTGTAGTCTATGGAAGCATGCAAGATACGCACCTTACACAAACACATCACAACACACATAAATATATTCACTAAAAATATGGATTTAATAATTATTCATAATAAAATAATCATTTAATTATTCATTTAGGAAGATATATATTTATATTTATGTAATGAATGTATTGCAAGAAACATTGAACATTTACTAGTATAAACCTTGACACTTTTTATTATATTGAACATTTGGCTTTCCATACCTCCTGCAGTCAAAATTGATCCTCATTATAAATTTATGCTTGTGACATTTCTAAATTTGAGTTCAAAATGTTATGGCCAAAATGTTACCTAGCCAGTTGAGGTTCTATAGTAAGATTGTCTATTTATTCCCCTCCACTGCTACACCTGCCTGTTCCTGATGTTGGAGCGGTGGACACAGCCTGTACAGTAGTGAAGCTTTAACTGCGGTTTGAGGCCATTCCTCAGGCGAAAGTTGCAGTACTGTTTCTGTGGTTCTGCCTGATGGAGGGGAAAATTCATCTCTGTCTCTAAGTGTAGCATTTTGTATTTTACCTTAGCAACTTTAAACAAATTTTAAATAAGGTGTATCACTAGCCAGACCATTTGGTTGAAATGGGAGGTGTGGGTATTTCCCCAATAATGCAAATAACAAGAAAATAATAATAGAAAAAGATTGCAAGCCTATTTCTTTACAAATGTTTTTTGTAACATTTTTGTGGTATTAGCCATAATTTGAAGGCACTAGTTCTGGTTTACTCTTACTTCTTTTAATCTTTAAAAATATGAATAAAGTGTGTTAATCTTAGTTGAGTGCAATGTTTGGGAATTTTACCCATCTACTGAAACATCAGCCAGATGATATTTTTGGCTAGATTTTTTTTTTTCAGTATCGGCTGATATGTGTTTGCGTTCATCAACTCATTGGTGCATTCAGCAGCGATGCCCTGAGATCATATAAAGTCCTTGCATTGCTGCTGCCTCTGTTTTATAGCCATTGTTGATAGTTGGTTTGGTACTAAATATATTTTTTTGTCATTGTAAAGAATAAGCCTCAAATAATCGATAGACATATGGCGGATCTGTTTGACTGATGTAATAATGATCAGTATTGAACTTAAAGAACCTGGAATGTTTGATTGCTAAAACAAAGTAACAAAGCAGGCCTTTTATCACCTAAAGAACCCCATCCTTGATTTAAAAAAAATGCCTGAGCAGAATCTTGAAAAACTCATTCTTGTGTGATCTGTAATAGAACTTATACTGCTATTTTGTCTACACAAGTCTGCCTAAATATCAAACAAATGTTTATTCAAAATTCTGCTGGGTGCATCCTCACTAAAACTAACAAAATCTAGCACATCACCCCCATTCTAAAGTAATTTCACTAGTATGCCGTATCTCAGAAAATAGATTTTAAAATACTTCTGTCACTATTTAAATCACCGAAGTATATTGCAGACTGCTGTTTGTGTGTCAACTGCCCAGACCTCTCATGCCTTATGGATGAAGTCTACTTTGCAAAAATATAATACTGAACATTACAAATGGCCCATTAGCCTGACTCTATGCATATGCTCTGGGAAATTCCAATACCAATTGAAAAATCATTCATGTTTTGTTAATTAATATGAGTGGGGATATCAGTAGGTATATGCAGGCAAAATAAACCTTTTCAAGCTTTAAAGGGGCCACTCAAAAAGAATGAAATTGCCACATTATAGAAAAAGCACTGCCTCTATTGACCAGCAGATGGCTCTGTTGTGAAACTGATTTCCCTCTTCTATATTATCTTGTTGATTTTCTTTCCTCTGAGCTATTTCTGTAAATATCAACTATGAAATACCTTTCTCTCGTGCAATTCTTTCATTAAAAATACCATAGCCTAAATGTAGCATAAACTTAGCCTAAATGTAGCATAAACTTACTTTTTTATTCTCCCTTTATTCTAAAGCATATAGCACTGATAATTTAAGGTTATGCCTTTGACCATTCTTGACTCCTTTTTTGTTAAAAGGGTGTGTTGTCATTTTGCAAAAGAATCCTGTCACAAGAGCAAAAGAAACAGTTAAAGTAATTACTTCACTTCTGACATTTGAATATTTTTTCGACATGTACTCACATAAAGAGGAAGATCAGCATGGTACACGATGTGACAGATAAACAAGTTTCATGTGAGCCAAGACTTTGAAATAACTTCATCAGTATTCATGACATGTAGCTTTCAGTCAAACTGCCATTGCTTACATCTGAATATATTCTACAGTGTCAAACAGAAAGAGAGGCATAACAGATTTAGTTCCCTTCTAAAATAAAGTAGAGAGAGAGATTTCTCTCAACATCTCCATAAATATCACCAAAGGGGATCTCCAAAGATTTCCTGATGGATAGCCTTGAACACATCAGTCCATGCCATCAGCTGGCATGATCCCAATAATCATCAATGACTTTGGATACTTCACATTCTCAACCAATTTAGATTAGGCCCCTATAGCCACACTTTCTCAAGACATAACTCCATAAAACATGATGAGAACAAGCATGAAACAAGCATGAGAGTTTGACCCCAAAGACAGTTAGACAGACGTTCATGCATTTCTAAAACATGTTTGAATTTAATTAAATATTTGCAAAAAAGCTGGGTGTTACATTTATTGTAATTTGCAAGCAATGTCAATTGAAATGAAGAGTGGTGAGAACAGCAGAGAAGATCATTGCATGTCCTGATCCCCTAACATCAACCATTGGCTGTTCTTGCTGCTGCCCTCTGGGAAGAGGCTTCGCAGCTTTCAACGCAGGTCCAGCAGATTCCAAAACAGCTTCTTCCTCACAGCCATCAGGCTGCTCAACTGTTAAGAGATATCTAAATCTTGTCACAAACTTTGCATTAAACAGATAACGCCAAACCAAAAATACTGCATTTTTGCACCATATATATTTAATGCTCTAAACTTCCATATCAATACGTTTTTTTTTCTCCTACAATGTTTACATTTGATCACTGCTGCACTCTGTTATTTCATGTCATGAAAGCTGTACAAAAATGAAATTTAATTTTGTATACACTCGGTGTATAGAAAATGACAATAAAAGTTGTCTAACAGAGTCTAGCAGATGCAAATATTTGAGATATACTTAAAGCCAGGCATGTATATTCTCAGTCTCTGCCATCAAATGAGAGTAAGCAATGTCCTTGTGTCAGTCATTTAGGTTTATTAAAATTATAATATTTTCTAAACAGGGATTGGATTTTAATCATTTCAAATTTTTTCATACCCGAGGGTTTACATTGTGGAATCAACTTTAAAGATGCATAACTAGGATAATACACTTTGAGTCTCCTCTCTTAAGTGTCTAACATTAGATTGCTTGAAATTTGACCCTTTCCTACTAAGATAACTGGTTTAAAAAAGTAGTGTTTGTGGGCTGCCTAGTTCACATACACCTTTTAGTGTATATATTTTTTTTTTGTGTGTGTGTGTCCAATCGCTGATCTCACATTGTCATCTATTTTGAGAAGTTTACAACAGACTATTAACACCATATTCTAGACCCCGCAGTTATGATGTTGTTCTCAGGTTTGTAAACATCAGAATCAGAAATACTCTAAAAAGAGGGAAATGACTAATTCCCCAGAGGGAAATTACTTTTGATACATGCTCCACATACAGTTTATATATATATA